GTAAGTCTCTAGGCATCCCCGAAAGGCCTGCTTCTCAAAGTCGTATTGAATAAGTTATAGAGAGGAGCTTGAACAATAAAAAAAACTTTTTTTTTTTTTTTGAGTGGTCGTTTCGAAATGGGATGTTCTTTTTTCTTATTGTGGGAAGAAGGGGAAGAAAGGAGTAGGAGGAGGAGGAGGAGGAGGAGGAAAAGAGAAAGAGAATGAAGAGGAGGAAGAGGAGGAGGTGAAGGGGGGAAAGCGAAAGAGAATGAGGAGGAGGAGGTTTAGAAGGTGGGGAATAAGATGGAGGAGGAGGAGGAGGAGGTGGAGGAGAAGAAGGAGGAGAAGAAGGAGGAGAAGAAGGAGGAGAAGAAGGAGGAGAAGAAGGAGGAGAAGAAGGAGGAGAAGAAGGAGGAGAAGAAGGAGGAGAAGAAGGAGGAGAAGAAGGAGGAGAAGAAGGAGGAGAAGGAGGAGGAGGAGGAGGAGGAGGAGGAGAGAAGGAGGAGTAGGAGGAGGAGGAGGGTGGAGGAGAAGAAGGAGGAGAAGAAGGAGGAGAAGAAGGAGGAGGAGGAGGAGGAGGAGGAGGAGGAGGAGGAGGAGGAGGAGGAGGAGGAGGAGGAGGAGGAGGAGGAGGAGGTGGTGGTGGTGGTGGTGGAGGTGGTGGAGGTGGAGGTGGAGGAGATGGAGAAGAAGAAGGAGGAGGAGGAGGAGGAGGAGGAGGAGGAGGAGGAGGAGGAGGAGGAGGAGGAGGAGGTGGTGGTGGTGGTGGAGGTGGAGGTGGTGGAGGTGGAGGTGGAGGAGATGGAGAAGAAGAAGGAGGAGGAGGAGGAGGAGGAGGAGGAGGAGGAGGAGGTGGAGGAGGAGGAGGATAAATAGTAGTAGCAGGATGATGAGGAACAGAAGAACACGATTGATAATAATAATAATAATTATGCTAGTAATAATAGCAATAACAATAGTATTTATGGTAAGAATGATTAAACGGCGAAGAAGACGAAGACGTAGGAGGAGAAGAAGGAGGAGAACAACAAAAGAACGAAGAAAACTTTCCTTAGACATTTTCCTGTATTCGTAAATTGCAGTGAATTTGTCCTACAGAGAAGCATTTAATAAAAAAGTGTTGTTTGTAAATTTACTCTGAATGACAGTTTGGAAATACTTTTCTGCGAGGAGAAGGAAGACAAACACACAAACAAACAAAAGAGATTTACCTCTTTTTTTTGTTCTTCAGTATTTTCCTGTTCTGTCTTTGTTTTCTTTTCGTTTCTTTTCCCTTGTTTTTTTTCCTCTCTCTCTCTCTCTCTCTCATTCTCTCTATCTCTCTCTCATTCTCTCTCTCTCTCTCCCCGCTCTCTCTCTCTCTCTCTCTCTCTCATTCTCTCTCTCTCTCATTCTCTCTCTCTCTCTCTCTCTCTCTCTCTCTCTCTCTCTCTCTCTCTCTCTCCCATTCTCTCTCTCTCTCACTCTCTCTCTCTCTCTCTCTCACTCACTCTCTCTCTCTCTCTCTCTCTCTCTCTCTCTCTCTCTCTCTCTCTCTCTCTCTCTCTCTCTCTCTCTCTCCCATTCTCTCTCTTTCTCTCGCCTAAACATGTTTTTCTTCCCCTTACTCTTCTCACCTTTGTGCATCTCAAAACATTTTCTTTTTTTTCATTTCAACTCTTCTAACAGCCAGAGTTTTCGCGCGAAATTTATGCCTCTGCTAATTCCGGAGGCTGCTCTCGTTCACTCTTTCTGGGAACAAAATTAAAAGTTTATTAATGAATATAATTGAAGTGTTTTTTTTTCAATTTTAATGATTTTATGGTTATTTTTTCACTTTTTCTTACATATTAAAAAAAAAATATCTCTCTAATCTCGATCTCTCTCTGTCTCTCTCTCTTTATTCATCAGGGTCTCTGTGTCTCTCTCTCTATGTCCGTTTTCTATGTCCTGAACAAAAACGCTAATCATTATCATGACCTTTAGTGTGTTTGTACAAGTTAGACGGTTTTCCATTTAAATACTTTTGAGTTCAGAGAGAAAGAGAGAAACGGGGAGAGAGCGAAGCGGGGTGAGAGAGAGAGGGGGGGGGGGGAGGAGGAAGTGAGAAAGGTAGAGGGAGAGGGAGAGGGAAAGGGAGGTAGGGAGAGGGGGGGGAGGGGGGAGAGGGAAGGAGAGGGAGGTTGGGAGAGGGAGAAGGAAAGGGAAAGGGAGGTAGGGAGAGGGGGAGGAGGGAGGTTGGGAGAGGGAGAGGGAAAGGGAAAGGGGAAGAGGGGGGGAGAGGGAGAGAGGTAGGGAGAGAGAAGGGAGGAGAGAAAGAGGGAAAGGTTACGGGAGAGAATTTGAAGGGAAGAGGAAAGAAGGGAAGAGAAGAGAAACGAAAAGAGAAAAGAGGAGAAAAGAAGAATAAAGTAGAGGAGAGAGAGAGAGGGAGAAAGAAGAGAGAGAGAGAGAGAGAGAGAGAGAGAGAGAGAGAGAAAGTGAGAGAGAGAGAAAGAAAGAGAAAGAGAAAGTAGAGAGAGAGAGAAAGAAGGGGGAGGAAAAAAGAGAAGAAGAGAGGAGAGGAGAGAAAGAAAGGAAGAATAAACAAGCAAAAGAAAGAGAGTGAGAGTGAGATGATGCGAGAAGGACAAGCGAAAAAAGAAAATAAGAAAAAAGAAAATATAAGAACAAGGAACAGACAAAATATGACTTTATGTCCTATATTTATAGAAAAAGGGAGATGGAGAAAAAGAGAGAATAAATGGGGGTCATGAGGGACGGAGGAGGGAGAGATGGAAGAGAAAGAGAAGAGAGGAAAGAGGAAAAAGAAGAGGATAAGGAAGCAGTGAAAGAAAAAAAAAAACAGGGGAAAGAATAAGGGAATAAGGGAAATGGAAAAACAGGAGAAAGAAAGGGAATAGGAGAAGAGGAGAAACAAGGAGACAGAGAAAGGGGGGGAGGGGGATATAAGTTGTTATAGGAAGGGAAGAAGAAGGAAGAAGAAAGGAAAATTGAAAAAGATGAAGAATGAGGGGAGAGGGGAAGGGGAGAAAGAAGAGGAAGAGTAATAGGGAAGAAGAGGAAGAAGAAGAAAAATAGAAATAGAAAAAATAATAATAGTAAGAAAAAGAAAAAAAAGAAACAGAACAAAGACGAAGATGAAGAAGAAGAAGAAGAAGAAGAAGAAGAAGAAGAAGAAGAAGAAGAAAAAGAAGAAGATGGACAGAAAACAAGAAAAAAAGAAATGAAAAAAAAAACAATAGAACAATACGATAAATAAAAGAAAAGGGAAAGTGAAGAAGAAAGAAAAAAAGAAAAAAGAAAACCGAAGAGAGAAACAGTGAAAGAGAAAGAAAGGAAGTAAGGAAGACGAAGAGAGAAGTGACAGGAGGAACTTTAAGCGAATGCGAGATAATCTAAGATCGAATTAATAATATGTCAGTATAATTGCTTTAGATAAGAGGGGGGGGGGGGGAGGGAGGAAGAGGGAGAGGGGGAGGGGGAGGAAGAGGGAGAGGGAGAGGGAGAGGGAGAGGGAGAGGGGGCAAGGGAGAGGGAGAGGGAAAGGGGGAGGAAGAGGGAGAGGGGGAGGGAGAGGGAGAGGGAGAGGGAGAGGGAGAGGGAGAGGGAGAAGGAGAGGGAGAGGGGGTGAGGGGAGGGAGAGGGAGAGGGAAAGGGAGAGGGAGAGAGGGGGAGATATATGTGGAAAGATAGAGAAGAGAGTGTAAGAAGTAAAAGAGAAAAGAAGAGAAGAGAAAAGGAGATGGCAAAACACGAGAAGATGGACGGAAGATGAGACACGAGCAAAGAAAAGAAAAGAGAGGAGAGAAAAGGAGGGGAAACAAGAGAGAGAAGGGAGGAGAGAGGAGGAGAGGGAGGAGAGGGAGGAGATGAAGGGGGGGGGGAGGAGAGGGGGGGAGGGGAGCGCATGGCCGTTGATTACACACCTGGGCGCCGCCAAGGTATGTTTTCAGTCCTGAAATATTGTCAGGAGAGAGGCATGTGGGAACGGGAGGGGAGGGGGGGGAGGGGGGTAGAGAAGGCGGAGGGGGAGGGGGAGGGGGGGAGGTGGAAGCAATGTGTCCATGAATGTTTGACACTTTGCTGTGCAGAGATAGTATTCTCTCTCTCTCTCTCTCTCTCTCTCTCTCTCTCTCTCTCTCTCTCTCTTTCTCTCTCTCTCTCTCTCTCACTCTCTATCTCTGATCATCTCTCTCTTTAGCTGTCTGCTTTAATTTGCATTTTCGTATATCACATCACAAACACACACATACAAACATACACACAAACATACACGTGTCTCTCTCCCTCTTTCTTCTCTCTCTCTCTTTCTCTCTCCCTCCCTCCCTCCCTTCCTCCCTCCCTCCCTCCCTCCCTCCCTCCCTCTCTCCCTCCCTCCCTCCCATCCCTCCCTCCCTCCCCTCTCTCATTTTCTCCCAAACGCCCATTACCGCGACATTCAACGCCAACAGATTCACCAACCCATGATTGATGAGTCCTTTATATAACACCTCTCTTATTCCCCGCCAAAGACAGATGCGTGTGTCTTTCCCCGCCTCGTAGCCATAGCCAGGGTGCTGTCGGGCATTTGGCAACTGCGTCACGAGATTCGGCGGATCTGTCGTGGTGATATTAATGGGGGGGGGGGGGGGAAGTGAAACTGTGTGAAATTTGTAACTGATATATATTTCCTCGTATATATATATGTTTTTTTTTCTTTCTTTGAACAAACTTATGGATGTTTATATGTCAGGGCTTGTGTTGTGAGTATGATGGATATAGTATTTACGGTTTAAAAAAACAAACAAACAAAAAAACAGTATTATGAATGATGATTTAGCAAATTGTGATAAGAGAAGACATGTTCAGAGTTAAAGGAGTAATAATAAATACAATAAAACATAGGGAGAAAAGCTAACAGTGATATGAAAGGTTTCAGGAACTCGTCCATAACACAGGGAGTGGCACTCGTGATAAAGTTGGCACAAAATCTACGGGGATACACACCCACGTTTATCGTACGGCGGCTTGGTAGATGAGAGTGAATCATTATTATT